ATCTCTCCAGAGAAGCTGTGAGCCCAAAAGCTTGTTTCCTTTCTACCAACAGATGTTGGTTCCAATTATAGGGATAAAATTAAAGTACTTTTATGTGTCTTCTTCTGTAGGACCAGAATGGCAACAGCTTTCTAAACAATGTCCTGAGAGAGCTTTAGCTGAAACAAACAAGGGATTTAATTAATGTTAGGATTCTTTTATAAATGAAACATCTAAGAGACATGACTGTCCCTTGCCTTCTTGTTTGTCTGTTGGCATTATAACCCTAGACTCTCCCAGCGTGGCTTTAAACTGTTAACGTTAATTTATATATATATAAAAGGTTTTCTCGAAAGCAGGTAGCTGGAATATTTGGTGGCTAACAGACCTGAGAATTTCAAGTAAACAAGGGGACACCTGTTATTTAAATCCCAGCACATTTCTCTGTTTTATATATTTGTTCTTCTCATTTTTCCTCAGGAAAAAATACCTATGTTCTTCCTAGATTTTTGAAACAGAGCCTTTGAACATGCATTTGAAAAGCACTTGGAGGCCTTGTTTCTCCTTCCTCATTTTTGCATAACTCATCTTCTTTTTATATTGTTTTAGTAGAGTTGCTTAACTGATGACACTATTGGAGTCTATTGTTATAAGTGAGTCTAGACTTAGGAGTCCATTGTTATAAGTGACATACCTTCTCCTTTCCTTAAAAGCTGTAAACAGCTTTGCCTTTTGTTGCTGTTGTTGTTTATATACATTTCTTCTTGTATTCTTCATTTGTCAAGTAGAGAGTCAGTAGGGTGTAGTCAGTTAAGTATTGCACTAGAACTCTGGGAAACCAGGATTCGAGTCCTTGCTCAGCCATGGAAACCCATTGGATGACCTTGGGCAGGTCGCACTCCCTCAGCCGAAAAAGCTGAGGCAATGGCAATTTTCCTCTGAATAAATCTTACCAAAAACAAAACAAAACCCTATAATATGGTCTCCGTAACACAGAGTCAACTTGAAGGTACATAACAACAGCAACAAGTAAGAGCTGATTGTTACAAATCAAAGGAAAAGTATTTATTCGTGTATTAAAGACATCTTTTTATTATTATTGTTTTTGCATGGTGTGTTGGCTTCACACACAATGTCAACAAATCAATGATCTACATAGTTTTAAGTGAGAAGTCTTGCTTGTGTGCCAAGTTATGCTTTAGGAGAGGGAACAAACATATGGTCCGAAACAATGTCAACAATATCTGTGTATTTGTGTGGTGATTCCCCACATAATTATGCTCAAAGTATCTCACAGTATATAAAATTACATCGACAGGCATAGCAACTAAGGAACAAACAACAATAGAAACATGACAAGTATTGTACTAATAGATAACAAAATATTAATCCATGCTAGGGTTATAGAGAATACTTCCATGTTTTCTCAGTGAAAAAGGATGTACTATATTACTTTAGAAAATGATTGGATAATGTTAGCTTTTTCACCTTTGGAGCCTTTTTGTGAAATATGTGTTTGGAACATTTTGCAACTTTGTTGTTGTTGTTGTTACTTAGAATGCACTGATTTACTTCCCAACAAAACAAGAAGATGATCCACAATTTTTGTCCTTTTCAAAAAAAAAAAAA